AGTCATGATGAGCAGTGCCGCATGCTTTTCACTGGTATGGTAACCTGTTAAAATGGTAAATCTACAATCTTCTAGGATAACTTCTGGTGTWATATATTATGGGATATTCTTGGGTGCTCCATATCTTGGTGGTAACATGTATCTCAATCTCTTCATTACAAGTGCTTGCGAATTTGTTGGAACAACGGCGACAATCTTTGTTCTTGACAGGTATGAAACTTTACTGAAACATTATTTACTGGACAGAAACTCACTATATGTCATCTTTTTTGCTAAACAACTTTTCTAAAACGAAAATATTCCAACTCATTCAAGAAATATGTGGTTCTGGTTCCAGGTTTGGTCGAAAAAAAGCAATCAAGGTCAGTGTTTGGATTGCAGCAGTTGCTTTGGTAGTAGGAGCGGTTCTTGCTTACTATGACGATGGTAGTACAGGTGCGCATCATCTGGTATGTCTTGTTTACAATTTCTTTCATAACTAAGTGTTAAGTCCTTGTCATTCAGGATACTTTGTGGGTAATATATTGGCGACACAAGTGGTTGGTATGGTGTCCATCGTCATCGTTTTTAATGGATTCTATGTGTATTCTTCAGAACTCTTCCCTACTGTTGTCAGGTACGAGGTTGAAGTCAATATATTGGGAGGGGAACTTACATTATACACCTAATTGCAACAAGGTTCAAATCGGGAAGTGAACATTTGTGACTTCGTGAGAAAAAGTTTTAGTACTGAGCTAGATTTGGACAAGAGAGAGTTTAGCTAGGGAATCTTCTTTATCATTTTTCCTTTCTCACTTAATCAGAGATAATATGAATTAAAAATTAAATATATCAAATATATTTCAGAAATACCGGTCTCGGGACATCAAGCGCTGCAGCACGGATAGGGTCGGGGTGTGCTCCTTACATTGTATATTCGGTAAGCATACTTAATCGCAGCAATATCTCTCTTCATTCTCTCTTATCCCTTTCATGACATTTCTCCCCCTTCGATCTTCCATTTTCTCTTYATGTTTCAATTCTCTTTTCTTCTTTCGTTATTTCACTCGCCACATTTATCTTATGTTACATCTATTTCTAGGTTCGAATCCACCCGGTCCTTCCRCGTGCCATCATGGGTATCTTCCCTATTATATGTGGATTKCTATTTTTCTTGTTGCCAGAAACGTACCAGACACCCATGCCTGATATCTTGCAACAAGTTGAATCCAATWWGGACGACAGTACTGGTAATAACATTAAGGAGCCAGCATCCAAAGAGAATAAAGGTTTTAACTCGACCAAAATGTARCTTGACAAGAACTGAATAACAACAATAGWGCACCCTATCTAAACAAACAGGCTAACAAATATAATGTAGTGAATTAAATTTTCTGTTAGAGGTAGAGTATGGCGGGCAATGCATGACATGTTCGTCATTAAAATTACTACAAGGGGAATTGAAACTGACTAAGAAACAGAATTTACCTTTTCAAGAAATAATGACAAAGAAAAGATGACTTGCAGCTCCTTTTTGCCATCTTGATYAACTCATCAACTCCATTTCATTTGAGAAATGCACTGGATTTATTTCTTTTCTTTTTATATAAAATCCTGCATATAATAGCATTTAACATAATCTTGTTTAACAAAAATAATCCTATATATTGCACTATGTATTGCATTTTTTGTACTTTATCCATAAGATAAGACGTTGTTTTGTATGTTCAACAGGCTAGGTGAGGTGTTTTTTTACTTCATTAAATCATATGTAGTAGAGACTATTTGCAAACTCGCTCTCCAAGAGTAAACAGTGTTCATATATTATTATAGTTTCACTGCATATTTTTCAGCAATCATCTATGATATCGGTACGTTTAACTGCATCCTTGTGGGGAAATGGGTTGGAAAAAAGGATTGATTGTAATGATATACATACCTGAACACTTCTTGTCCCATTCCCTTTTCATTCAATAAAGTTATGACCGATACTAAATTGCATTTGTTATAATTTTAATATACCTAACTAAAATTATGCACTACCTCATAATTCTTACTAGTTCAATTTAGAAATCTGCCGTRCTTGACGACGAGACCACAATAGCTTCACAATTTAAGTTGTAACATCGCCATGTATTATTCCATCTTGAAATATTTAAATACCTAGACAAGTATAAATGCACGGTCATTTTTTGGAATACATAYTGTCTTTTTCAAACATACTGGCTTTTTTAACAAACCTTAATCTCTGTGTCTTGTGAACCAGAAAGTAAAAGGTCTTTATGTATAACAACACAATTTACACTTGCTTCATGTCGCGATAATGTTTGCATTGGTAGCATGCTCTCTAAATTCCACACCTTAGAAAAAATACATTTCGTCTATCAGCTGTTGGATATCTAAGTCGAAATGTAGGCTAAACATAAACATATAATCGGAATATTCGCGTGTCATCAGTCTTGAACGCCCATTGTCTACTGATTTACCCTTTTCGCAACTTTGAGAGGGAGATATACAATTCGCAGTAACAGCCTTTCTTGCTGTTGTGCTTTGTTTGTTTGTTTTCTTGAGTGCAATTACAATAGTACCAGAAATAGAACTATTGTAGATTTTTTTTAAGTCTTGCCTACCTGGACTGTTGTATCGTACGATGCTGAAAATAAAAGACGACCCGAGAAAGATACCACAAGGCCGGTGACTGTCCCAAAATGTCCCGTGAGAGCCTTGATATGCTGATGAGTTGTRAGATCATAAACATGGATATTTTGGTTATAGGTTCCTGTGAATAAATGATGYGTGTATTAAAAAAATAAATGCAGGATCAAGAAGTCAGTTAAGGGGTTGTTCCACGATATTAGATCCTCCATAGGAACGGATATCCACAGACATACATATCATACAATAATTACACATACAACAATTTTAATTGCACAATTCTAATKAAAAGCTGTACCCGTGTCTTTTTACTCACCAACAATRAGATACTGTTTGGTGACTGCTAGTGAATACACAGAGCCAAATGTGTGGTCTATTTTGGATCGTAAGTCAAACTTTCCTGTTGCATCCCAGAAATGAACGACGTTATGGGACCCACTRATCACTTTCTCCTTTATTAATGAAAGTCACCAAACTCAGTCAAATCAAAACTGATATTTTTTATAAATCACGGCTATCAGTGCAGTTGTTACTTACCCTTTTATCRTCCARAGTKAGAGCTCTGACCCAGTGGTTCAACCCGTTTATCGTATGTACAAGGTCTAAATTTGATGGTTCCCAAACCTATAGTTTGGAAAAGTTCATTTGGTCACCAGCTGGATCCAGGGGTGGGGACTAAATTGGTGGCACTTCTTCAGCCACCCCCTCCCCCTTCTGAGTAGTTACATTCTAAATTAGTTTATGAACAACTTACCAACGCTTATAAACTGGCAATGAACACCATTTAGTAGTAGATAAGTTGTAAATAGTAAATATTTATTATAGCTTTCTTAATCTTTTTATGTAAATTTCACTGTTTATTGAGTTTTTTTGAACTGCAAGAAGTGGCAATAAACTATTATCATTTTGAAAAAAAGGAAATTTCTATTCTATTATAAGTACACCCACTATAACTGGTTTTAGTATATCAACCCAAATCCCCCCTTCTGATCCGTTCCTGGTCACTTTTCACTCGAAATAATAAGGTACTGAGTTTTCATAAATCAGAAGCCTCTCGACAAACTTACCTTAATGCATGAATGAGACGAAGTAAAAACATATCTACCGCTGTATACAACAGCACAGATAATGTCATCGTGTGCTTTCTGAAATTCAAAAAAAAATGTCCTGGAAATTATCTTACTATCCAAATTTGAAACGCCTTGCGAAGAAGACTTTGAAAATACCTCAACTTTGAAGTGTTGGCTCAAAGTATCCAAATCCCAGGAGATTAATATCTGATCGGATCCAGCACTGTAAAGCTTGCCACCACCAGCACATATTGCATGAATCTGTAGAAAAATGACGAAAACACATTAAAAATACTTTCRCACGCTTCAACAAATGTCATGACGCGCTCGCACCGCTCGTGCAAAGAAATATAATGCCCGCGCAAATTTTCCCCGCCAAAACTTTCCCGCCTTTTTTCCGATACGTGTGGATGCGCGAGCGGACATCTGGACACTACGCCTGCTACGCTTCATGCAGAGCTCCATGTTTCAGTTTGCAGTAAAAAATGGTAAGTGTTTTAAAACTACAAAGGTTTGTCAATAAATAATCTCTTTACTTTTATTTTAAAGTGACAGTTTCCGTTTCAGTTAAGTCCTATATTGTGAAAGTAAGTGTTAAGAATATGTCGGGCGAAGTCAATTAAAGTTTCAGTTCTCTGTGAAAGCTTTCATTCAAGCTTAATAAGTTAGATCGACAATCTTTTTCTTCAAACATCGTGCATACTTTTAAAGTAATATTATTTTAGTCGCAGAACGGATTAATAGAACGTACATTYTAAAAGAAATTCAATTTTCAAACTCATCCAGAGCTTATAGCAAATTAAGTTATTTCAAGGTCAAAAACTGAATTTTCGTCCGTTCATTGACAATGACTTCTGGAGGTCTTAAAACTTACATCATTTGTATGTCCTTCCATACTTGCTGTACAGCGAGCAAGTCTAACATTTTCCATATTCCAGACCTAGAATAATGAAATTGTATTGCGTTACTGTATCCTTTGGATGAATGARATGACGAAATGAGAAAACTACCTTGATGACTCGRTCACCGCCTGCACTGAACAAACGATGCCCTTTGGAAACCATGCTCCAAATCACACTCCTATGGCCTCTAAAACAACAACACACACAAAAAAAAACATGCACTTTCAGTATAATACTAAGGCTCCAATCATCTTAAAAATATATTAAGCTTATAGAGTTAAGTGGATGGTTGTACAAATGGTGAAAGGGCACTATACATGATATAAAATCCAATTCAAAATCTATGGAGTKGATAACTTTATCCACTTTTCGTACAAAAAATGGTCCCAATGATTTATAAAAATCAAATATTGATTGATTGGGTATACAATATTCTTTTGTTTCTTTATTAACAGCTGAAAAGAAAGGCAGTGCATGTATATGATATACATGAGACTCATACCATACCTCAAGGTACCTATACATTTAAATATACATGGCATTAGCCATGTTTCCTGTTGTACTGGTACAACTGTTGATCTAATCCTTCCTGGATTAGCTCTACGTGGAGAATGAGGAAGGCTTTCATCAGGGCTTGTACTGTTTACTGTATCGGGTATTGAAGTGACTGACAGTTCACGATAGAATGAAGACCGTTTTAACATGGAGCCAAGAATCTCTACCTGGTATGATAGCTCTTCCATAGTATCTGTAAGTCTTGATATGGCACTAGAAATGCAATGATAAAAATACCAGATTGATGAATTGTTAGTCATTTCTTACATAGTAAAGGGAGATATCTCCCTCTACTCACTATGGTTTTGATAATTCATGATATCTAATATTAGTCTCTTGTGAGGATTTCTATTATTTGATTAGTTCAAGGGATAATCATCTGTTCAAGTCTTTAGGAATTTGWAAATGTTTGCACTATGGGAATCACAGGGCATTCACTTAAAAATGACCACTTCATTGTCATTATAAATGACTGTACTGTCATTAATTGTCCACKAATTGTGGCTTCATAATGTTATTATATGTATAATCATTTTAGATATAACACTGATGATGTATCTAYTGTCAAGCACATCTACCACTCATTATAACATTATAAGAATGGTATGATATTGCTATAAATTACCTATTACAATGTTCAACCTGTGTGACGAGAGCATCTTGGTTTTTTTCCAGCCATGATACTCTTTCTGATAGAACTTTGATTGTAGATCTCAGCTCCCCCTAAAAGAAATATAGTTGATTTTATCCTGTGTTTAAATACGGATATAAGCTTGAATTATAATTATTTTATACAATATATTTATTTACCTCATTTTGTGAACTATATTTTGATTTGGAATCACCATTTCTATGGGTACAAGTTTTACTATGTTCATCAATTTCTGTTTTTGTACCTATAGTTTCACATCCTGTAAAAACAAAACACAATCAATATTTTTAATCATGAACTTTTGGTTATTTATACTTGACAATKTTGTGTTGAAAACAAGTTAATTTTGTCTTTTTTTGGGTTCTGCTACCTATTCCTCTTTTTATGTTCACTGATTTTATTATATTCTTTGTTTATACATGATTAATGTTCACTGTTTTACCGTAAAAGGATCTTGATGTGTTTATAGTAAAACTACAAGTCACAGTAGTAAAGCTATCCAACATAGACACTGCATCTAATATTTATAAGTGTCAAACCACAAGTGGTATATTATTCACAAAAAAAGAATGTATAAAAGGACAACTTGTACCTTTTGAATTGAAATAACATCGATAATGCGAGCAAACCTTTAAATGATCACCAAGTTCTCTTCTTCTAAATTTACCACACTGATTCGAACTATTTGGACAAGGTATAATCCCATAAACACACGATTCTTCGTGATCTTGCCTTCGACCAAYAGTAATTTTCTCTGGACACCCATCATCGTCAATTTCAAAGCTCTCTTCTGAATCAGTTCTTGTTAGTCCATGACGGCAAAATATCAGTAGATCTTCGATCTGAGCTTTGACAGCAAGATTAGAAACTAGACCAGAGCTTTTAAGACTCACTCCATCAAAGGGGCACTTGGTTATAATGGAGAGAGTTGAATTAGAACCAGCTGAGTGAATACAATGTCGACAGAATGTGTGTCCACATTGGGTGGATATCACGGGATCAGTGAACAGTTCTTTGCATAGAGAACATTTTAGCGATTCAGAAGGTTGGATCACAAACTTTGTAGGCAGCATTTGAAGGTAGTTTTATCTAAGCATCCTATTAAATTTCCTGTCCCCTCTTTCCGTATAAAGTTGATCTATGCAGTACATAAACAGCTAGGCGTCACCCCCGTTTTGTGGGGTCTGGGACTTACACAAGAGAGGAGACTGTGATCTAAAAGAAGAAAGAAAGATGTTTGCCAACAATGACCATTAGTCATGCTGCAATCRTTAAGTTGTATTGTTGTACTATGTGTTTTAAATCACGGAATAAATGCACAGTTTGAAGATTTACAGATTACCTTTCCCGATGACTTCCTAACGCCGTATAAAGGACATACCAGAASTAAGAGATCTTTGCGATATGTACGCGATTGTCAACCAGTTCGCTTTGGGAACCGTACTCATGAAGAATTCCCAGCCTCTAGAAAGACGTTTAGAGCTCAAGATCAGTTTGTCCAAGTCCATAATTTGTTCTATGAGTACTATAAAGGACAAGACAAGCGGCAGGTTTATGGACATTACAGTGTTGTAGACGATCCTCTACGAACTTTCTCTATTCTTGAGCCTGAAAACATTGGTGGTTGCAAAAAATATGCAAGGGCAACAGTGGCAGAAACATCGAGACAAAGAAATTGTGTAGTAGCAACGAATGCAGGCTTTTTCCGAACTAAGAATGGTAAATGTTTGGGTAATTTGTTTAGCGATGGTCGATTGATTGTAGACGCAGATGGAGTACAAAATGCTAATTTTGGTATACGTAAAGATGGTACTATCGTGACTGGATATTTATCAGAGGAGGCAGTGCTYGATCAAGAAAACCCTTTTGTACAATTAGTTTCTGGAGTCACATGGCTTGTTCGTAATGGCGAAAGTTTCGTAAACGCGAGCAAGAAAATTGAATGTGAGGATTTGCAAGAAACAGGTTCAGTGGATCTCTTTGTGAATGTTATTTCTKGTAGAACTGCAATAGGTCATGATGCCAAAGGGAGGGTGGTAGTGGTACAAGTGGATGGACGCACTCATCAAAGGGGGTAGGTGTCTGTCATTTGTACWTTTAGCAATAGSATCATTRGAATAAATATTAAAATGGCAGGACAGTAGTTTCTTTTTATTGTTGAGCATATGCATCATGGGTATACTGTAATGTTTTGTCACTAACGAGGTTATAGTTATATTTTTCAAATCTATGGTCTTCACCCTGCATTTATCATATACAGACAAAGGATTGACATAAATGGTGCCCAGTATTGTTGTGCCTTCTAACATTTGCCCACATTATTTTGAGTTATATTTCAATTGAATACCAAAAAATATTTTTTTTTCTTTCAGTATGAACTTACATGACTTTTCAGAATACCTAAAGAAGCTTGGTCTTGTGAATGCTATAAATCTTGATGGRGGAGGATCTGCAACATTTGTGGTTAACAGAACGACTGTGAACTACCCAAGTGATCAGTGGTAAATATTTATCATTGTTCATGTATCTAAGCAATAGGCTGCTCTTGTCCCATGAATGTCCATGCAGCCAGTCATACTGTAAGTCAATGATGATAGTGCACCATTGATATTGTATTTAAAATGTATTCTTCTTTCTTAWAGTGGAACATTCATATGCCCAAGAAAAGTGTCCACAATAGCTTGCTTTCATGAGCCTGACTGTGACCCAAATGATTGCAATGATCATGGGAAATGTGTTATGGGTTCTTGTCWATGTAATCAGTACTGGACAAAAGACAAATGTGATGTATTAAAATGCAGTGAATTGAAGTGTTACTCACATGGAACTTGCACTGAAGGTATTATATTATATTAATCAAATTAAAAGAACTTGGYGCAGTACACATCATTCACATATGTTGGCTTTGCATTCTAGAGGGATGTAAGTGTTTTCCTGGATGGACAGGTAGAGACTGTCAAAAGGGTAAGATACACTATATAGATGTRTTTTTTGTTTCTAATTTTTAAACATTTTGCCCAATATCATATTGAACTTTTTCATTAGAAAATTTTCTGCCATTTTTCAGCTTGTCCAGCTGGATTATTTGGAGCAAACTGTAGCTCACAATGCAGTTGCTTCAATGGTGGAAAATGTGATTCAAAAACTGGAGACTGCCACTGCCCAGCAGGTTTCATGGGCATTCTTTGTGAGACAGGTGAGAAATATTTCATTGTGCCTTCTGTATGAAGGCAGAACATGTGACCATGGTGGGGAAAGAATTCACTGCAGGTCCTTTTCCAGGTTAGGTGTAAAATATGAGTAAAAAGGACTAAAATATAATGACAACTAGACAAAGTTTACTGTAACTTTCTAGTTCCAAATATTGATAGAAAGCCATGATAAAATCTCAATACAGTTTAATAAGTTAGGTAAAAAGSTATATTGTTAATCTCAATATATTGTTATACTTGCATTATCAGAGTGTCCTCCAGGAAGGTATGGACCAAGTTGTGCACAAGTCTGCAACTGTACCAAATCATGTGAATGCAATGGTGTGACTGGAGTTTGTGGTCAGCAGTCATACAAWCATTTAACTGATTCATATCCTTGGAATAATCATTCTGAAGAATGTAAGACTTTGTATAACTTGTTAATAATTTGCAGACAGTAATCYAAGACTAGAAATTCAGTGTCAGAATTCATCAGAATAATACAATTCTGCAGTAATCAGAGTAGATTGAAATGTTTTTTCATTATCTTTCAGGGGCCAAATGTCTACATTTAAATCAAGGAAAATGGGKAGAGCACTCAACAAATTTACGCTCAGAAAACCAGTCAATGCGGAATGAATATGAGTAAGATATCTTTCTGATTTAGTAATATACTTTAGATTGTAATAATAGTATCTTCTTGCATTATTTTTTTAGGAAGCTACTATACTGGTTTATTGGTATTGTAAGTCTTTGTGCTGTTAGYGTATTGGTTAATTGTATCCTAATATATCTTTACTGCCAAATATCCACAAGAAGGATATCAAGACCAAGACAAATAGAGTTTGCATCTGATGAAGAACTTTGAGAGTTCTAGAACCTTTTACAAAGATATTTCTTTGTATAATGATCACCACTGTAAAACAATAGGAGGATACCATTATGAAGAAAACAAGTTTGGCTCAGATGGTGAATTTTTTGACTGAAAATTACAATTAAGCCAAAGAAGAATGTGCAGTGACATAAAAAACTGTACCTTAATATCAAACTTGGATTTTATACAATATTATTTAGAATATTAGAGTCTCTAACTGGCAGGATATTTTATATAAAAATGATTATAGAAGAGTATTGTAATTATGATAATAGTGATATCAATTTTAAATTAGATTAGATAACTTATTACTCTGTATTTTGTCTAATGTTTTCTAAAAAAGTATATATTGAATTTATTAGTGGGGAATATCTAATATTGTCAAAATCTATTAAATTATTGTATTATTGTGTTTGTGTGTACATGACATGCATGTATGTAATAAAACAATAGAGTAACGCAGGCAAAACATGAAAATATAAAATCAAACTAAATACTAACAAATAGCAATATCAATTGTCTTTGATACTGACAATTTGTCTCTAAATAGCTGCTATTTGTTAGTATTTAGTTTGATTTTATTTCATGGTTTTCCTGGTTTGCTCTAATATGTAGAGAAGTTGTCAAGCAGTATTTCACAAATTTCAAAACATAGATCTAAGGATAGGATCAATTCAATATTTAAAAAAATAATATACGTATCTACTCTCATTCCCTCAATACTTCCTCTCTACTTCTTATCGCTAAAGTCAAAATTCCATATTATCAGCATAGTGAGATACTACATGCTTCCTTTATTTGAATGCATGTTATTACAGTATTTTTTCTATAAAAATCTTACATTCATGTTTGCAATAAATTCCAATCCTTTCAAATAGACGGAATTTAAGTCTTTATATATTAATGTCTTTGTTTCTAGTCTTTACATTCTTTCGTTTTYACTTTCATTTTCTTGGAAGCATCGTAAATACAAAGTCAATTTATAGACAGCTCATGTCCATACATTTATGATRGCAATGTTGAACAAAACATCAAGAGGCGGTTAACTTGAGGTGTTCGCCAAGAAAATCGATGGTTCTAGTGATGAGCTGCTTTCTCAACACAAGTCCGCCATCTCCACTCACAAGGGCCATYAGTGTTACATAATCTTCAATGCTCAAATTATCAATAATGTCCTTCATATAGTCATACAACAGTTGTCGYTGATGTGCGTTAAGGTCATTGATTATTTGAGAAACTGGCTTGAAACTTTCAGCACTACTATAAGCTATAGCTCCCCCCACAACACCACCTACAAGTAAGCCAACTGGGCCTGCCAAAAGCCCTCCAACTGTAGTTGATATACCAGCTACTAACCCGCCTTTTATGCTGCCTTTTACCGTGGCTTTGAGCTCCTCTTCATCGGCTATAACTGAGATGACACGCTGTAAATCGTATTGAGATATTGGCATTGTGAAACTGGAAAAATGGCTGACGCTGACGAAGGAAGGACTTGGGGATTCCCCTGCCGTCCTCGGTTTCATGTTGTAACAAATGACCGCTGATCATTGAGAACGAATATGATACTTATTTATTTATTATGATTATAAATATAAGAATAACATTATTACACAATGCTGTTTAGAGTTTATAGCAAAAGTTGCTAAAGATACCAAGTAATTGCACMATATTGTGGTTGTCACCGATTACCTAAAATTTCGTGGTTTTGCTTAGTGTTTAATCAAGATACTATCAATAACAAACACTGGCAAAGTCTGAACTGGGGAAAAAATCTGAYATTYCATTAACCTTTGTTTGTATTTTTTTCATTTTTTGATAATTATCTATTCCGAGMTGTCCAAGCCTCAAAAGATCATGTGATTTTCCGCCAGCTGACAACGTTCCCTAGAAACAGGAGTAGCTTTATTGGAATGCTTCTTGTTAAGTCTGACCTTGATGAAATTAAAATGTTGTCATTTAAAYAAGCATAAATCAGCGTCTTTCTTTCGATCTAAAACGGCAACTTGTTACAATTTCACTGAAAAATATTGCCTGAGCAATAATACGGTACATCTCTCTGCATTTGAACTGATTCTTGGTCCCTTTCTAAGATTACTCTTTTTACAAAGAAAACTAAGATTTCTTTACACAAAAAGTTTTATTATTAGTGTTATTCTTTCAGGAGATACCATTTGSTTCGTTGAGTAAATCACGTCCTTATTTCTTTGATCATTTCTTTGCATTCAGTTTTTCATGTGATTAGRGTTAATCTCAACTCCGTCTTCAAATAACAAAAGAACACATCCAAAAATCGTCTCCGTAGTTCCCAATCACTGGCAACTTTCGCATTCAAAGCCACAAAGGTTTTTACGTGACTATCATCGATAAGATACCTCATATACTGGTACAAATGTTCCCTGTCGTCTTTATTCATGTCTGTTAAGAACTTTTCCAAGGTAATCTCGATTCGTTTTGTTGTCCATGCAGCCACAGTACCTCCAACAACGCTACCTACGACAACACCAATTGGTCCTCCACATACTCCACCTACAGTTGCCCCAATACCGGTTATTATACCGCCTTTTACTCGTCTTCCACTGATCAAGATCTTATATTCACTATCACTTGTTAGCAGTGCAAGCAATGTTACGAGATCTTCWGGTGATACAGGCATGATGAATGTACTCAGTTTAGTCATATGTTTATTATACTGGTAAAACAAGGTATTTATAACCAGTTGTGACGTTGTCTATTGCGATGCATTATGGGTCCAMCACGTGGCTCTAAATAACTGAAAAAGATATACATGATATATCAAACCGTTACTAGTAATTATACAATCAATCTATACTTCAACGTATTTATCCAGATATCCAAATGTCGAGTCAATAAAATAACTGAATTTCGGTTTTTAATTTTAAAGACGTCCAAGGATATTTTTTGAAATGTATAAAATAGCATGCAATCGGAAGACGTGGATAGCTTAGATAAAGTATATGATGTGTAAAATCCGTCGTTTTTTATGGTATTTTTGGAGAATAGCGAAATTTGCTTCGTTCAGCAAAACATAACGACAAAACGGAAAAGGGACTGGAACCGAGAAACCATCACAGTTTTCCGGGAACTGAAACTAATAGCAAAGCGAATTCTCCGAAGCTTTATTCAGCACAAAAGAAAACGATCTTTTTCTTTCATGAAATTCAGCATCTTGTAAACCAGTCTTCTTTACAATGGCTTCATCTGATTCCGGGAATCAAGCTTCTCCAATGAAGACTAGTCAAGACAAAAACGGAAACGAAAGCCTTGAAGACCTCATAAGCAAATGGAAGGTAAGAAATCCTAATAGTTAGAAAAATCAGTTTAYTTTTATTATGACTGATGAGCTGTTTAGTTGAATAAAACGAGTATTGTCATATGGTCAGGCTTAAAAATCTATCGTCAGATCTCTGTTACTAGTTTTGAGAGCTTCAATAGAGATACTGTCGATGTTRACATTATTTTGTTACTGCTATCAGAGAGAGAAAGACTACACTTATCAAAAACTAGCCGATTGTCGTACCGGAGTGGATGAAATGGTACAGTCCCTTGAAAAGTACCCCTCAGGAATTACATGGACACAGATTCGAAAAAGTATCTAACACACTATTACTGATGTTTACCAATTATGCATTCTTTCTATAAATTCTTATTGTGTATTTTATTTATWTGGTTTTGGTTTCTGTTCATTATTATTATTATCATCATGATTTTTCTCAAGGATTTTYCCGTCAAGAATCAAGTGATGCAAAAGCTTTAGAATATGAATTTGTGGTCAAACCGGCAAACAAAAATCGAAGAATAGAAAATCAAATCAAAGAATATATCGAACAGGATATCGACAAAAAGAAATTCAAAATAAAGATCGACTTCAACTGGGAACAAAGAAAACCAAACGTTCCTTTGGTTGTATTCTGCAATTACTCATCAAGGATTGGATCAGATGTAGAGTACGCTTTGAGAGATGTTGATGGTATGTAAATATGGATCAGCATGTGGACCAATAACATAAATTAACAGTATCAATTCAATCTTGCTTACGACGAAACAAGTTATACGGTTAATCAGACATATGATAATGAAAGATAATGACTTTAATAATCTTGTGCTGCGATTCCAACTAAGGGACTGTTCATTAAATATGACTTCACGGTGGTCTGGAGGAAAAGTCAAAAAATCCTTCAAAAAATTTGCAGCCCCCCTTACTCTATCTCAATATTTTTTCGAGCCCCCCTCCTTCTGACATTGAGGAAAAATAGCTCCCCCGCCCCAATATGTATAAAGCGATGTAAAAAAAGCAAGTGAATGCTTATGTAATTAGACTTATATATGTGGCTAAATGCAATTTAGGCTAAGTTAAACTCGAGGCCTGTTTCCTAGCATGCCTTGCAGCTGCGGGGGCGCCCCATAGTTTGCAGGGGCACGTTGTGCCTTCATGTGTTGTTGCGCACACGGTCCGTGTTGTTTTGATTCCCAACTCACTCTCCTCTTTGGTAAGTGTACAATTAGGTAAGTATCCTTCATTGACTCGGTCAATGTGACTTGTGCCAGGTGCCATGGTTGGGTTACCATGGTTACCTCCTGGTCATGTCCGGTGGCACGCTGGCATGACCAATTTGTGGCACATATTTCCACACTCATCCGAGCCGATGAGTTTAGAAAAAAGAAAGTAAAGTTGTTGTTTAAATGATCATTGATAAGAAATGTATAAAAAACAACATATTAATATTATATATTATACATACTTTAATTTTGTGTTTCAACCCCCCCTTCATGTCAGTAAATGCCATTAAAGCCCCCCATTCATTGTCTGTTTATTTTTCAAAGCCCCCCTACTTTTCCTCCAGTCCCCCTCAGGTATAATTAATGAACGGTCCCTAAAACATGCGTATTTATAAACGAGCTATTCTTGGTATTATTGATTATATTGTTTACTTCTTTGTGCGAATTTAAATAAACATATAATGGTATTGGATATATGTTAGAAGAAACAGTTAGTTGGGACTCTTACATGCACGAATATGATCTTCTGATGCAACCTGTAAATTCGGAGCCGAGATACTGATCTTACTCGAACAAAAACTATTTAAAGGGAGACTGAACAATCTTGAAAAAAAAATCTGTGACAAGTGCCTTAATTTGCTGCCCCGGACTCCCTCTCTTGTTTAAACTTTGCCTTTTAATCTATTGTTTGTTTATTAGATCCTCAAGTCATTCTGGTCGTACTCCATCTGTGTAGAAAAGCGTTGATTGGRGGACAGAATCTGTACGATACGGATTACCTTTTATCAGATGATTTAAAGGGTCGAGTTGCATTTATAGCGCACTTCGCTTTTGATGATGTCGTCTATGATTGTCACCAGAATCAACAAGCAAGATGGCACATATGCAAAGAGYTGAGCCAAAAGTAGAATAACTAGTCATCGGCTTTAGCTCGACGTTTTATACTCTTGTCAGTATAATTAATTTTAGTTTAGGTTTTTGTCTGGTATAAGACTTAAAAGATCTTTATKTAAAGTTTTTCATCATTGACATTGTATTGATTCATGAGACTTAATTAAATACAAATAAACTAATTAACGTCAAGGTTTATGTTAATAGTATTTTAAGAGCATCTATTTGATGTAGTACGGTTTTTTTCACTATTGGCCAATCTAACTAGGCTATGATGCTATATTTGATATTTAAAAAACACAAAATTSAAAAAACGATTCTTCTACAATTCTACATCTTGTTCTCAATGTGACCTTGGCAGGAGTAAAGCATTTGACGAACAGCATACAGAAGCAAGATATCCATGTTGTCATCCAAATCTACTGCCTCTTTGTAGTTCTTGACAGGAAAGATCTGGTTTTCAGGAAGACCCATTAGTTGCTTGCCCACTTTAGTCACAATATCACGAACTTTGATACTGCGGTAGACTTTTGTCACATCTCTAGATACTTCAGGGCATGCCTCATCAATGTGGGAAAGTATAATGTAGGTAGGAATATCTAATCAAAACAGAAACATTCAAAACAATTGGGAATTATAACTCCCTTTCAAAAGCAACAAGTGCAAAGTAGTGAATCAAGTGTGTTGTCAGAGTCGATATATATATACAATAAATAAAATGCCAAAATAGAAGACTTAAAGACTAAGCGACAAACTTACTCCTTGAAATGAGTCCCTCCCGCAAACTTCGAAGTTTTCTCCACATATCACCCCTCATCACTTCGGCTGAATGGCCATTAATTACCACAGCAATGCAGTGGGCTTTATCAGCAAGTGTAGGATTGGAGATGTATCCTTCTGATTCTATATTGAAATCCTTACCTGGGGTAAACTTGACAAACGATAAAATAAAAATTTACATTATAATGATATAAAATGGTAGGCTAGCCATAAGTAGGATGCTTGAGAAGCATTAGAATTTATGGTATAGCATTGAGGTTATAGATGTATTAGTAGAGAGAGACTAGCTCCCTCTACTAACTATGATGTAATGGATCCAACAATCACCAACCCAAGATTCTCATTGACTGCATTGATCCAGTCTTATATTATAAGCTCCACCATATTCCCGCTCGGGGTAAACATTTATACAAAATCTAAGCAACAGTAGTATTTACAAGTAAACTAACCGTGTGCCCGTTTGGTACATGGCCATCTACTACTCTCAATAAGTTCCTAATATCAGATTCTGTTGTGTTATCTYCCAATCCCATTGTATCACAAATCCTCCATGCCATCGGTKGGGCCWTAGGGTGTGACTTGATTTCGTAAACCCGATACTAAAACAAAAAGAAGATATATAGCCCGACGCACACGATAGGAAAGTGCGTAAGCGAAGCCCACGCAAGTCGGTTTGTACAGCGTTTAACCCGCCGTGAATAGTAAAAATGGTGCACACCCGCGGATCAAAGCGACTCGCGTGGCATTTCGCTTTACGCACTTTCCTATCGTGTGTGGTGCTGGCTGAACAAAGAATACGATGTCACGTAACTAACATTATGATACAAACTAGGTTGTGCACGYTAAAGTATCATGATATTTATGCGACTAAGAGTAATTAGTACTGTAAGCTATAGACTACTTGCCTCTTTAGTTAAGCTTTGTGCAGTTTCTCCARTATCAGCTTTGCCCGCTATAATGCGACCATTAAAGAGRCTGTTGAGACTGTTGAAAAAGCTGGATTTACCAGACCCTATTTGCCCCGTGAGGAGAATGTTAAAGAATGGGACTTTGACATCATCACTTGTAATAGGCGCGAGGTTAGAAACGTGCACTTCAAGTTCRTCTCGCACACTGAAAATTGATAAATATAAGACATTTACCTGAAAATGCCATTTAATCATTTAAAGTCCTAATTTTCTAATTATGAGACCGATTAAGTTTTGAGCGATTTAGTTTACACTGGGACCTTATGTATACATTAAACATTTAATAGATTCAAAAACATGTACGGCCATAAAATAATACTTGTTAGATCAAGCCCCATAAAAACGAGTTTTAAGCGGTACAGTTTACACATTTTTAATCTGCTCTCATATACCTTTTCCYCCAATCTTTAGTCCTTCTCCATGGTTCGTCTGTCACTAACAATTTATATTGAAAAAACATGGGCTTAGCATGTATTGTTTTTCCTTTTTTGAAATATTCGCAATGAATTAATTTAATAGCTTTTAAGTACTGTAATATTTTTTATGCTTACATGTAGGAGGTGGAGGAGGGGGAGCTGGAGTTGAACTTTCACCACCCATTCTAAAAGAAATATATGATAKGATAGCATAGTAGTCTTAGCCTAAGTAGTCTGCTTTTCTAAGTACTGTGCTGGAAACTGAAATTTAGTGTGTCTACGTAGACGTAATAACTAATKTGTACRCTAGATCAGTCAAGAGCGTCACTTCGTTTTTCTTGAAGACCTTGAAAGTCGATGGAAGACTCGTACCTAAGCCGATAGTGCGAGCTTTGATGTTTGTAAACYGCTTACAATGTGACAAATATTCAAACGAACATGTAGATCTTTTCTCCTTGGCCGTCCAAATCGATGGTAATCAGTACACCTATATGGACACGAAGTTGACAGTGGAATGATCTGGTATTCCAGTGCCGTACATTTCCACAGACGCCAAACGTCCCAAAACCACAACAAAATTCATTCGGAAAGCATTTTCTAGCTAACTTACATATATTTCCTTTCTTCTGGATTTACCTCTGATCGTTGAACGTTTACTGTTATTTAATGTTGCGCAGTCTTTCTAGGAATTACACGGACAAGGTGTGCATAGTATATAATGACGCTGGAGAATCGATGAAAATTCTGGGAAGAGGCTGTCAAAAATTTCTTCTTGGAAGGACGATTACGGGAAAAAAATGATATTATGTAGACWGTAATAAAGGAACCAATGAGGTTGTTCCATTCATCTTCAAAGGTCAGCTTCCGAGAATAACTGGGGATTCTCAACGCTGATTGGACAATCGCTTCACCCCAAAGCCACATGGACACAAAAAGTCAACAATTCTTTGAAGTCATGTTTGATTCATAGCGCTTAGTCTAATATAACATAACAACTTTATACTTTATTGGAAATCGTCCTAATCAAGTGTTTATCAGACCGTAACTTGATCTTCTTGGAAAATAAAGTATTGCATAAGCTGGATTAACAATGGATTCTTTAAATTTGTAAAACTATTGTGGAGTAGCTATAGTGTATATTAAAAAAAACGTAAAAACGGTGGATTTTTTTAAGTTGAGACAGGAAAGCACGAAAAGACAAATTAAATACATGCTAATTCGAACTCATATTCACTAYCATAAGTCTCAAATAGCAAGGGATCGTGTACTTTGCAAGTCACACATTGAATTTCAGTTCATCATTCAAAACTCAGTGGTACCTATGAAAACGACGGAGTTCACTAAGGGATATGTTGTTTATTTCTAACTATATGTAATTCAGATAATGTCAGAATTCACAGTTCTTTAKGGCTAATGTTTGTATTACTAATTATTGATCAGCAACTAAGGCTTTCTAGAACAAAAGTTTAAAGTTCCATTGGACTCTCGTCCAGTTGATTCGGTGGTTTTTCACCTGGCTTTTCCAATTCCATCGGTCCTATTTCCTCCTGTTGACTGTATTTCAGTTGAGTAGGAARGTCTTYACTGTGTTGATTCTCGAGATGGYTCTTGGCAACAKTAGTTAGGCAACGTAGTCCATACAAGAGAAGAACATCCATGCCGTTGTCAAGCTCAACTTCTSTGTTGTAGTTAATAACAGGAAATATCTGGTTTTCTGGGAGACCAAGTATCATATTGCTTATTCTGTCCACAAGTTCTTTCAACAGTTTACTATGAAAGGTTTTTGTGATATCTTCTTCTACTTTAGGCAGGTACTCATCCAAATGAGTTAGTATGATAACAATAGGTAAATCTRAAAAATTAAAAAGACTGATATCGAGGGTTTTTTCCCATGAAGGTCTTTATTTCTCGTTGAACCTAAAATACTCACGTCGATTGACAAGGGCCTCTGCCAAGCTTTTTAGCTTACGCACCATGTCRTTGTTCATGTTTGAGGTATCTTTCGCATTGATCACAAGAGCTACACAGTGTGCTCTGTCTGCAAGCTTAGGGCTTGGAATGTAGCCTGGACTGTTTGAAAGGAATTCTTCGTCAGGATTAAACTAAAGGAAAAGAAGCATTTTTGGTTATATTTCTTTTTCTACTTATACATGTGCGACCAGCATGAGATCATGATGCTGAGAACTCATGGAACAACTTACCYTATGACCATTCGACACATGTCCTTCCACTACCTTCAAGATATTCCTGATATCAGTTTCAGTRGTGTGTGCCTCTATACCCATAGTATCACCAATCTTGATTTTGAGGTTGTGTAATGGATACACCCTGAACTGCGAATTACACAAGATTTGTTTTTACACTCATCATAGTTTCATTAAATACATTATAGCTCCACATCAATCAAAAAAGGTTTGGAGATAGAAAATTACAATTTTACCTCTTTAGTAAGACTTCGTGCCATTTTACCGGCAGTTGCTTTAGCTGGACTAACAATCTCGTTAAAGATACTGTTRATACTGTTATAAAAGCTTGACTTTCCTGATCCGACTTGACCAGTAAGAATAATATTGAATGTTGGCACCCCAAATGGACTTGGATCAAACTCTTCCATTTTGGACTTCATTTCATCTCTTGTGCTGCATCACAGAAGTAACACAACAATTCAAGTGATGACAAACTAATCATCCTTTAGGGTGAATAAAGCCTTGGATATCATACCTTTTATCCCATCCCTTGACCTTCCTCCACGGTTTTGGCATGAGCTGATCTTCTGGGAAAGAAGTATTAGTGGGTATATATATGCAAAAGTTATACAGAACATAGTTCTGTTCAAAATTCTAATAAGGCAACAAGTACCTTCTACAGGTCTAGCCTTAGAAGATTGATCCTTGCTTTGTGATTGTCCCATYTTTTATCTATCAAGCAGCCTTTTCGATCTTTTTTAGTTAAGAAAACGTATTGCAATTGTACATTCCACGATGGCCAAATGGTCCCAAATAGCCTGCAAAATATTTCTGAAACTGTATTCTTGAGGAGTCTAGCTAAATATCTCAGAAATGGTGATCGTCGCTCAAGTACGACAGCTTAAGCTAGTGTRTATATACGATCGTTTCGTTGAGTTCTAAGTTTCTTTTGGTTTACTATTCAGGTCGTTCGATCGATGTGCATTGATGAACATCAAATATTCCAAGAAAAAAAGCTATGATTTGGATTTACTATCAATTCTAATCCGAGTATTCTGTTTCCGGGAATACTCGTYGTCGCATTGTTGATTCAGGATTCTTGGAAGCAACATTGCAGTAGATGCACCCTTGTATAACGACCAGATCTCGATAAGTTGACAGCTGCACGTGCTGTCATCGTGAATTATAGTGTCACACACTGACGGTCTTCGGGATTGGTTGGGTTAATAAGTTGGGTTAAAAGTCAATTTTTGTAAAGATTCTATTGGGTAATCTACAATTTAATTCTCTGCTCTTTCATGGTATAGAGGAAGTTACCATGAACGGGGAATCCGAGGGAAATAAAGATTTACGTTATTTGGGTTTTTTTCCAATTGACATTCAAGTCTCCCTYWTCTGCCATTTGTTAATGTTCGTGACTCTACTTTTCTTTTTATTTATYATKTGAAWGCTTAAATTYACAAACAGACACATGCTTTGATATYACCATYGGCTTTTTTTCTTCTATTGATCTCTARTATATATAAAAATCCTTAACATGCATCATTGCTATATATTGCTAACTATAGCTGGGACCACTCAGTCATGCTTATATAAAGCCTTTATAAGATGCCATTTTGAACTTTTCAGTTTGAAAACTGAGTTACATTTAATTTTTACTCCAATTAGATCWATTGCCAATGTGCATAAGTAATATCAGCTATCCCATTTAGTATTATGTGATGATACCAAAGATCTTTTCTATATCGTCAATAATGAGTGCAATATTCACACATATGCATTATGACACTAGGTTTTTCGAGCTCAGTTATGTTCAGAGGGATGAGATGCAGCTCCTTGGTTTTCAAGATAGTCTTCAGCAGCAGCAATCATACAGCGTAGTCCATACAAGAGAAGAACATCCATGCCATCATCAAGCTCAACGGCTTTGTGATAGTTAATAACGGGAAATATCWGGTTTTCTGGTATTCCATGTATCATAGCTCTTATTTTGGCCACAAGGTTTTCTAAATGTCTACTGTGGTAGGTTTTGGTAATGTCTTGTTCTACTTCAGGGTGGAACTGATCCAAATGGGTCAGTACAATAACAACAGGTACTCCTGAGATTGGTTAAAAACTAAATTACCAGCATGAAACAACTCTCTTCTAAAAACACTTATCCCACATGCACATATTCATTGTAGAYAAGCAAGTTATTTTTCAACTTACCTCGATTGATGAGTGCCTCTGCCAAGCTTTTCAGCTTACGTACCATCTCCCCCTTCATAGTTAAGGTATCTTTCGCATTGATAACAAGACCTACACAGTGAGCTCTTTCTGCAAGTGGTGGGTTGGCAATGTAGTGTTTATTGTTTGACTGAATGAATTCTTCATCAGAACGAAACTATAAAAGAACCATAATAATTACACTTTTGATATTCTTTTTCTACTAATAGAAATCATTGCATTTTTCAGCTGTTTTTTTTATGAGATCATGTATCTAAGAGTATTTACCTTATAACCATTGGGCACATGTCCGTCCAATACACTCAATATATTCCTGATATCAGCTTCAGTGGTGTGTGCCTCTATACCCATAGTATCTCCCATACTGATATAGGGGTTGTGTCTGAACTTATACATCTTAAACTAAATAACAACAATTTCGCGTTTTTCTTTGARATTAGATAATCAAAAATGGTATATTTCCAACAACTTTTTAAAAATTCTACCTCTTTAGTAAAACTTTGCCCAATACTCCCAGCAGCTGCCCTAGTTGGACGGACAAAACCGTCAAAGACGCTGTTAATGCTGTTGAAGAGGCTRGACTTTCCTGCTCCAACTTGGCCAGTGAGAACAATGTTAAATTTTGGAACCCCAAACCGCTTCGGGTTGAACTCCTTTATCTGAGATTTCAATTCATCCCTTGCGCTGCAATACAAAAATAATCAGTTGATGCAATAACAAAAATGGAAAGCTCTTGCTAATAAAGTAGTTAAAACAGTACTGCTATTGTTTWAGTTGTAGGCGCGAAGCGCCGTAATCGAGGCCGTAAGGCCGCGAGCGCCGAAAATATCAAACCTCTGGAACCAGGGTAATATTCAATTTGTTACTTATCCATAGCAATTACTTTAGGTCTTACACACACTCTTCAATCTCTCTGACAAAACATTGTAAAATAGCCGCTACATATTTCGATGTCTATATAATGCAGTGGAAGCTTGGCCATCATACCTTTTATTCCATCCCCTGGTCGACCTCCACGGTCTTTCTTTGAACGGACTTACTACTGGAGGTTCTGGCTTTGATTCGGGTTGACCCATTCTAAAGAAATTTAGCGAAAAAGAGTAACCTTGTACTGATTTTTCACATAAATAAGATTGCATTTATCTACAGTTGAACTGTTTTTTTTTTCGGTGGCGCTCGTCTGTATGACAAAGTTARCCATAACAAAGTACAATGGTTTTTATGTACTGTATCTAGTTACCTTGCTTAACGTTCCTCTGCGCTTGTCTCTGGATTTGATTCTGCGAAGGTTTTGGTGTCTTAGGARCTGGTACTTAGGATCTATAGTGACGACTAGCTGGAAAAGGTGTTATGCATTTTGAAAACCGCTTGAGAAAGGACTGGGGATTCTTGGAAGAAGCTGTTTACTAAGCCAATTCCCGGAAAAGCGGTACGTCGCATGAATTCTATGTATAAATTGCGAGCATGAAAATAAACGTTTGTAGGTCAATCGCTTCACAGCAAATTTCAACTGAAGGTGACTTTTCTTTTGGTTCTTGATGAGAACAGAC